TGCTTTTTTTGATCCATGGATTATTTAGACTTGTATTATATAGTTTTCTGAGATCTACTCTATCTCATGCCTCATGAATCAGTCTAGCTGGAGAGTGCAGGTACGATTGCTGGTCCTAAGTGAGCACTGAGCAATGAAACTTCTAATCTTTCTGATGGTTCTTTACTAGACTTGGGTTACTTTGTCACACCTATGTGCTGACCAATACTCAATAACTGAGTTCTGAGTTCTGTCTGTGTAGCTTTCTCTTCTCCAGTACTTCATCTACAACACTCTCGCTGCCTTTATCTTCCTACTCAGCTCCATCTTCTTAATTCATAGAGTCCACTGAGACCTGCCTAGGTACCCTCTTCTGTTGTTGAAGCCTGGACACTGTCTCAAGACAGTAAGCTGAGGCAATTATAGGGCTCTCATTATTTGTGTCCCATCTATCAAAGACCACTGCAGTTGATGACTTGCTATCCAATATCTTAAAACTTCTATTTCTTACATTTTATCTATTTTTTATTGATTTGTGTATGTGTGTGAATCTATTATCTGTTACACCAAGTCTAGATGATACTTAAAAAAATTATTACTTTATATAGGTAAACATTTTACACTCTAGTTTTTCAGGATATAATTAGTCATGTCAAAGCATGTTGCGGCAGTGCTTTTTTTTCCTTCTTTTCTAAAATTTAATCTCTTTTCTGAGCAGGGAAGTTTTAGAACCACATCTTTACTAACAATTAGAGCAGCAGTACTTTATATAAGTATTACATATTCTGGCTTTAAAAATATTTATATGTACAATCTCTTATTTTATTATCAATGGTCAAGGCCAGATTATTAAGGACAAGGTTGTTATTAAATGAAGCTCAAGAGTGACTTGACTTGCTCAAAGCTGTATAGTTTATAACCACTATAGCAGTAACAGCTGCCATTTATGATATACTTTATGTGTGGTCAGTGGGGTGCTCAGCACTGTATATACAATCTCATTTAATCATCTAAAACATTTTAGGAAAGTGCTACAATGGTCACTATTGTAGATATGAACAAACTAGAGCTCAGAAGACATGCTACCTTACCTAAACTCACACAGCTAATAAGAGCCAAGGCTAGGACGTAAACTCAGGCTTTCTACCTCCTAGACAATGATTGTAACTTTTATTGTTCTTTTTGTGGCAGTGGAACACTCTTCTGAGTCATTTGCTGCCTTCTGACTTTTTTCCTCATAACCTTAACTGGATCAACAATGACAGCTTATCTCTTTTTCCAGTGAACAAAATATTGTACATTCTGGAAATATTGTACATTCTTGGAAATATTGCTCCTGTACTATGGCTCATGAGAGGCAAAGACTTTTGCGGGTGATGCTTATGCTTAGGTGGCACTTATGCTGATGTCAGGGATATTACTTAAAGACAGATGACACTTTTGATGTTAAATTCATATTATATTAGGATCATTTTGTCATCAATTGTTATATGGATATTCATTTTTGAGTTCTACCTATCTAAAATCTCAACACTTACTAATCTACAAGATCTACCATTTCATATTCCTCCTCTTTCTTTATTTTTCTCTTTAAAATTATCACTGATACATTAATATATTTTAGTTTACTTACTTATTATCTAACTCTTTCACTAAAAGTTTCATAAACACGAATAGTTTTGTCAGTTTTGTTCACTACCATATCCCCCACATCTATTAAATAGAAACAATAAATATTGGTTAATAAATTCACATTTATATTTAGACAGTGTTGTTAGGATTTGTGTTATTTTAATAATTGTGTAATGGAGTAGAGAGCAATATCTGAGACTGAATTTTCAGATGCACTGGGATCTACCAATACATATTTTCACTGCTATTGGATGTATAATACCTGTCAAAAGAGGTTAAAGCCTACAAGAGGAAGATAAGATCATTACATGAAACAAATCTCAGAATTGTGGAGGAAGATCACATTTGCATGTAAGTGTCTCCTCTCTCTCCTGATAATACCATCAGCTGTTATGACTGACATGTTATGAAGGCATGAATCTTAATGGGGAGATAGCAGTGTAGTAGTTAAAATATCCTTTAGAATGCTGGGATTCAATTCTCAATGATTCCACTTACTTGCTCTATAAATATTAGAAGTCACTATTCTTTTATGACCATAATTTATATCCTGAAACTTCAAGGTATTCTTCAGCCCTGTGAAACTGTGTTCAAACATATTGAATGCAAGAAACTGGATGTATCTCTCTTGGGACGTCTATAGTTTTCATCAAATTTTCAATGTCTGTCAGTACTTAATATCCAGGGCAACAAAGACCAAATGATACTGTTACAAATAAATCTGCAAAAATGTGTTCATTTAGGTTGGCCTAAACTCCTTTAAGTCCAGCTAGAATCTTAATATTTTGGAAGCCCTTAATATTTCTATGTTTTTTTACTTACCTTCGAACCTACATAAACCAGAGTTACAAAACAGAGATAACTTCACTATGATTGCAATCACCTTTACAAGTTGAGGTTAAGTGATTTGCCAACACTAACATGACAGAGACAAGAAAACCTCATACATAAATTTATTTATTTTTTTTAAATCACATTTCATTGTCAGTAATACCTCTGTAGCTCTCTCATAGGAATGTGGATCTTTGAGAGTAAAAGCATCATGCCTTATTCATTTTTGTGGCCTCAGCATCTGGAAAGTGTAAAGCTAAAGCATGTACTACATGTTTAATATATATTTGGTGTATAATGATTGAGTTGAATATTAATCTGAGTTCTTCTGATTATAAATCCTCAACATAGTATCGTTTCATTATGTCACTTATCTTTTCATGAAATAAATCTAAAGGGGAGTCTCATTCCTTAGTTAATATACTTTTCTAGCATTTTCTCTTACTCAATATCTATCTTCCTTGTCTAGGGTACTATTAAGCAAACACATACCTATGTCATGGAAAGTAAACATGAATCAAGAGTCTAATAGAAAGCAAAATATATAGTTTGTTTCTTTTAAAAACATATGGAAACCAAAGATAATGTTTTAAAACATTTGAAAAAGTTCCTTATAAGTGTTTTATTTTTGAATAATCTCAAACAACTAACACCAGTAAGACTCCTACATTGTTTTCTAAAGATTTGATCATTTTTATGGCTACTCATTCCATTCATTCTGTCCCTTGGTATCTGTGCCAAATATTATCAAATTCTCAAATTTCGTATTCTCAAATCTTCTTTTTTTGATACATTTATACCTCTGCTGCATTTTCTGATCACATTCTCCTATTTTACGATTCCACTAAATTACTTTCTAACACATCTTTCAATCAGTTAAAGAGCATCCTTCCAATCTGGGAGCTATGCAATGAAAGTAAAGGGAGTTTATTGGCAAAGAATCAGCTTACCAGATGCAAAGAAAAGAAGCGAATAAAAAATCTTAAGAAAGAAGGAAAAAAGAGGGCAATAGTATCACAGATAATAGTAATATTGCTATGTTGATTTTTTTCCTTATGTAAATCACAGTGCAGCATCCAAGGAATATTGGCTAATGAATGTGTAAATGCTTTTGTGTTACATCTAAGGGTAAGAGCAAATCGTTTTTAAGCTTTTAAATATTCTTTCTTCCTTTTTTCCTTCTTTCCTCTTTTCTTTCTTTCCCCCTTCCTTCTCTCTCTCTTTCCCCTCTCTTTCCTTCCTCTCCTCGCCTCTCTCTCTCCCTCTCCCTTTTCCTCTCTTTCTCTCTTCTATTCTCTTTTTCTTCTGCACTTTTAGAACTACACCAATAAAAAGGTTGGGTTTCCAAATGTCCCTAAAGGTTGCCCAAAGATGTATCATGTGCCTGATGGCAAGAAGACATTCTTGAGAATGTTACAAAGTCTTGTGGGGCAAGTTCCATCAGACTATAAGTATATAAGCAAATATAGGAATAATAAAATTTCATTAACTAATGATGTTCTCAGACATTTGACTATAAAGAAGATTTATAGGCCAAAAAAAAAAAAGTATAACAAGGCCACTCTAGTGCTTCTAGAATAATTCAGATTATGCAAGATCCATTAAAATCCACATTATATAAATTCAAAGTAATTCTCATCCTAAATTTTTGACATTTTCTTACACAATGTCAGATATATTTATATTTTGTTAGTGAAAAACAAACTACTTTCTAAATGAGAAATTAAAAGGCATAACTCTTCAATTTCATAAGTATATTGAAATTAACAATTTCATTGCAGAAATAATTTGGGCAAACAATTATGTTTCAAATATTTCATGTTAAATTCTAAAAGAAAAAAACAGTATTATTAATTTATTTCATTTGAAAATGATACTATATGTGATTTGAAGAAAAAACAGTATGTTAGCACTTATTTGTTAATAAGGACACATATGTGTCTGTATTTTAAATTTCCAAATATAACAAAATATTTAAATTGCTCATATGCTTCTTAACATCTTATATATGAGGGATCAATTCTTAATTTTGATTTACTTGAAAGGCCATTTAATAAGTGAGTTTGCATTATTTAAAGTCAGTCATCAAAATGTCTACGATTGCAAAAATAGTAATGCTACTTACAGAATTATCCAGAATTCCTCTCACCACAGGTTATTCTTAAAGTTATTTGGTAATAACCTTAAGCAGCACTTGCAAATTCAGATAAAATAAAAACTTGCAAGTATTAGTTTAAAAACACAAAGTGATTTTATAGGGTAATGCTTTATTGAAATAATAAAGCACTTCTTTGTTTTAAACACAGAAATCCCTAATGTCTTTGTACTATGAATAAAAGTTAATTTTGAAAACTTTAAAATACCTATAATTTCCCATTTAACAGTAAATATTGCATGCAAAAGGTCTAGCAAAGCTTCTAAATAAGTATTAAAATGACCGACTAATCAGTAATTTGCATTGCTTCACAAAAAAGATTTGACAGTAAATTACTGGGTTTATAAGTGCATGCTACAGAATAGTATGCTCCGAGTCAATAAATAAAGTAAAATGCAATTACCCTAAAAGACATTTCAAGATTCTCTCCACCCCAGATATCCATTCCTGCATCGTAAGTTCCTATCTCTTCAAAGTAGTTTCTGTCAATAGAAAATAGGCCACCAGCCATAGTAGGGGTCCTAGTTGAAAAAAAAACAAAAAGAAAAGAATATCTTTTGAAAACAATGTGTGGAGTTTAATAAGACTGCAGCAAATATTTTTGAGACATTTTAAATTTAAAAAAAAATACTCAAAAATCTCAAACTGTAAACATAAAGCCAAGGTGTAAAAAGTTTTAAACTTAATAAATAGCATTTTAGTTTACTTTTTCTGTAAAACTAAATTTTACTATGTTTTTCTTACAGGTGATCAAATATATACATGGAAGGAATACCAGGCCCAAGATGAGGGCGTCTACATTCCTTCTGAAAGGAATTGTGAAGAGAAGTTAGTGCTCTTAGCACCCCTTTAAGAGATTAACTGGTCATGAAACTACCTGTTGTGATCTTTTGTCACCTAATTATAAATTATTTTACAGTGAACTAGAGAAGCCTATAGAAATGGTTTCTCTACGAAAAGCTCTATATTCTATTTAAATACGAAAAATATTAAATGCTATAAAATGTTTATAAGCAATAAGTATCTAACGAGAATTACAAAAGTATTTTTAACTTAAGAACTTTACATCAAATTGTTTATTCTTCTCTTTACATAATTGAAATGATAGAGTTAATCATACAACCCTATGAATAAACATAAATCCCATATGCTATCTGGAGGTTTAAAGGAAATTTAGCACATATTCTCAAACTTTTTCCTAGGAAAAAATTTCTCTTGAAAAACGAAGAAGTCAGATGTTAAGTTTTAAAAAGACTAATTATTAATTAATTTTAAAACATCATTAAGTCAATGGTTGATGTGTGAACTATACAAGTCTTTCTATACAAGCAGTGTAAATTGAAACTCAAAAAAGAAAATTCTAGATGTTCACGACTGGATCTATCCATACGGGCAATGATTATTTTTGAATATTAATTGTAGTGTAATGGTTTTCAGTGTTTGTAATACATTAGCAGCACCTGAGACACCTTTTAAAAATACATTTCCATGCTTGAGTACCATCTCCACAGATCCAGATTTAATGGACCTGGGGTGGAGGCAGACCTTTGGTATCCTGGAAAGTTCCCAGGTGATTCTAATGTGCTGCTAAAGATGAGAAACACTGATCTAATAACTTAGGTTTGGAATACTCATCTGAGATTGTTAAAACGCCAAATGTTTTGCTCTTGAAATTATATCCTCTTCCGCTACAGGACATGCTTGTGTTTTCTAACTGAACAATATAGTCACTGAAAAAAACCACCAAATAATATTGTACTTGGATTGTACTTGGACAGCTACCATATTGCAAAGTTCCCCATTCTTCCCAGTGCTCTCATGGTTTTGTACTCAGGTAATTAACTGTCCATCATTTAGAGTACCACAAGCTCGCTTAGTCTCAGAGATGTTTTATTACTTCTTATCTTGCTGGGTTCCTGTCATGAGCAGTATCACTGACCTTCTGAGTTATAATGAGAAACACTAACAAAGCTAAACAGATGGTAATTATGGTAGCCACAACCCTCACCTGACTGGGGTTTTGAAACTCTATGGTAATAACTATACATGGTATTACAGTTCTGGATACTCTAATATAATGAAGAACAAAATTGCTGCAATAATCCCATCATAATGAAATCAAATGCTTAAGAATGTTAAGTGATGCATTTTTAATGACCAGTTCAGAGTGCCTATCCACTTATCCATTTACTAATAAAGTGCTAATGCATTAAAGTTAAATATACATATTGATTTTCCTCTTGCATTTGATCATAATTGCTATAAATATGTGAGAAATGTATAATAAATGGCTACAATAAATTACATATATAACCATAAGAATGACTCAAATAAGTTTCACTTATGCTTGAAAAGTAACAAAAATAAGATTACAATCCCTCAAAAAAAAAAAAAAAAAACCTGTAGTTTCGAAGACAAATGTTCCTTGAGAGAATTTTTTATCTTTGCAATGTCAAATAGTCTAGGGACCATGCTTTAATGATAACTACACCCAAACCAGTGTTAAGCAGTATGTTATGCTCTAAGTCAACTGCTCTGTAACATTCTAATGAACTATTACATATGCCTGTGTGGACATAAGTGTTCAGGATGCCTAGAAAATTAAAAACTTTGATTATAGTTGAATTTGCTGAGATTATTTGCTTTTTAAGATTGTATTTGTACAATGTCAAGCCAACCAACTAATTCAATTAATTCTGGGGGAAAAAACATAATCAGCTAAATAGCTGTGAACATTACCTACCACACAGTAGGTAGGTGACGAATTGAGTTAATAGTAAGATAAGCATTTAGCACAGTGCCTGGTACATAATAAATATTTAATAAGGTTAAGTAACATGTCTTTGCTTTTGTTGTTGTTGATGTTAATCATTCAAATAAAAGTCTTGAGTGTCCTTAACTTAATTGTAGCTCCCCATAAACACACTCTCATTTTGAACTTCAAAATCACTTAGAACTACTTTATATTTGAGATATTGAACTCTGAAATCTGCCTCTCTGAACTCAAGTTTCTATCTTATAACCCCTCCTTTTTCAATCCAATAGAAGGCATTTTTTAAATCCTTCTTTGGTGACTTTGGTTCCTCAGCTATTCCATATTTTCACATAATAAACCCCTTCAGGAATTGTTTGCTTTTCTTCTTCCACTCCCTCTCTAAGATTCTGCCAAATCATGGAGAAACTAGCCTAGCACCCTAGGTTCTCTGTCTTTGCCTTATATAACCCAATTCTTGTTTTGTAAATATCAGCATCTGGGTAAACTTACCCCTTACTTCATCCATTTCTGCTCCTAAGACTCAGAGAATCATTGAAAAGGTAATAAGATGAGGTCACTGGTCGCACTAGAAGTCCATGTTATTGACTCTCTGCTTAGTCCACAAATTGCTAACAATCCTTTTATCTGTGTTTATTTGCTCACCCATCTCATTTTAACTGAATCTTTTCCAAAAGTTTTGGATGTTTCTCAAGAAACTAGAGATTAAGTCAATGCATAAAATCTAAACTTCCTCAATTATGAAATCTAAACATATACTCTCTCTCTAGAGAGAGAGAGAGACAGCTGAGGGCACAAGAGTGAAGATACATAAACATCTTAAAATGAAGATTATATACATAATCTTCCCTCATCTTGTCTTAGAGGAAAGACTGTCTCCTCAGCCCTCTCACTGTGGGCTAGCATTTAATCTTGTGCCTTCAGTTGGCTCTTTTCTGACTACTCTTTCAGCAAGTTGTTCACTGACTATTACATTTATGTTTTATGCCTTTGATTTCTAGATAGCCCTCTTGAGCTTACAAAACTGCTCAGTTATGTTCTACCCTAAATCAAAATACACCTTCACACTATCATACCACTCAATCAAACTAGGAACGTATATTTTCTATTCCCTTCACTAGTAACCTTATTGAAAGGATACTTTCTACATACCCCCTCAACTCCTCTTGACTTTCTAACTAGAATCTGAATCCTGTTCACTCCTCTACAACTTCTTTCTGAAAGGGCATATTGACTCTAAACTTCAATAGCTTTTCCTGAACATCTTTCTTTGAAAAAATTTAACACAATTCATCAGCCTCCCTACTTGAAATTCTTTTCACCTCTGACTCCTATTGCATTGTTCTAGAGATATTTTTCCTTCTACCAAAGAGATTACTCATGTTATGATTCTTATTGATGCCCCTTCCTCTTCCTTTCCTTTGCTGGTTGTCAGATTTTTAGTTAAGTTCCTGGTTTTACATCTGTGGCATGAGTACAATATACAATAATAGCATTGTTTTATAGATATATGCATTTAATAATCACCTTGTTTTGTCCCCAAATGGGGTCCTCCTAAGGGTCTCTCCATAACTTTTTTTTTTTTTTGTATACTCTTTACCTGTATAAGTATGCCTTGTCACCTCTATGAGGCTGACTCCTAATCTGTGTTTCTCTTCTCACTTCTTTCCTCTACATTGGTTATAATTTTCAAATTATTTGCTAGATGTTTTCTTTAAAAAAAAAAATCCTCTGACTGCTCAATGTGTTTAACATAGAAATGAGAATGTGTTACCTACCCGCTTCCATATCTACTTCTCTTTCAATGTCATTTATTTCCTTCCAGAGCGTTAACGTAAAATAATGAAAACGCTTTTCAGCACCTTTCTTTTTTGTGCCTAATTCAATCATTTTCCAAACACTTTCAATTTTTTCCAAAGTAGTTTTGACTCTAATCTCTGTTCTCTGTTATCACAGCCACTATCCAATTTTAGTCCTCTCATTTCTAACTAAGTGTTAATAATGGAATCTTCTTGCTTTTAGAGTCGGCTACTTTAAAAATTTATTCTATAAACCACAGCCAGATTAATTGCTCCAAATCAAAACTCTTCTGAAATGTTAACCAGATGTTCAAAAACCTGTTTTAAAGAATAAATTCCAGCTTCTTATCCTGGCATCTGGGATTTGAAATCACCCAATGAGCTACTCCATTCCTTTTAACTATTTCCCTGTATTTAAAGTGTTTAGCTGTTACTAGTAAATGCTTCATACTTTCTCACTTTGTTACGTATGTTCACACCCATTTGTCACTTGAATTTTCCTTTGTAAAATCCCCTTATATGTTCAAACTTGCTCTATTCTTAGGCTATTATGAAGGTTATATATTTCATGCATCCTGCCTGTATATAATCTTTTTCCTTCCAATTTGGATGTAATCTTCTCCTTCTAGCTTCTTCTATAGCACCCTATTTCTTTCTCTCAAGGCACTTGTCACTTCTTTTAAGTATTGTATTTATATCTATATACATTGTATGACTTCTGTAAGTATAGGCAATATATTAGTTGACTAATATTAGACTATTAATAGATATTTATTGAATAAATAAAATTTTAAAAATGAGCAATGTATTTCATGGCCACAAAACAATTTATTTGAAAGTTTAAACTATGTGCATTTTTATTTCTGAAATTACAAACAAAATTCTTTGCTCATATCTGCTTAATAGATGAGTAACAAAAATGTCTTCACTGATTCCAGGATTTTAAAAG